CCTACCTCCGCTGTGCGAATCCGACTGAGGTAATCTTTGTGTAGTCGCGCTCTGCGAAGGTTGTTGGTACCTAGAGTGGGACACAATGTAGTGAAGTGCTTTGTAAGAAAACGAATGGTCTGAGAACTCACCCTGAGATCATCACATCGTGATTCACTTCATTGAAATACACGTCCTGTGCATTACTTGGTGACAAAGATATGTGAGACTGGCTTGAAAGCGCTGAAAATTGATGTTTTACATTATGATAACTGCTGTTTTACGCCGCAGTTCGCGTTCTGAAAGTTATCACAAATGCTGAGTTGTGGGCAAAAGTCGTGTCCCAGGTGGGAGTCGAACTCGCACCTCACGTTTTCCGAGACTTTTGCTCACAACTCAACATTCTTTTAATAGTTGAAAACTGAAATAATTCTTTAAAATCCTAAGTCCTTATTGACGGAAAGTTAACCAACGTGCGTCTTCGAAAATGAATTCGTCTATCCACTGCATAGATTCGGATAGAAAGTCTGTCGGACATAACCGATCAGGACCATCCTGAAAAGCGAACTTACAAAAACCATTATTCAACCCTAGCGTCAAACCAGTACTTTTATCATAAAGACACTCATAACGGAATTGGTAATACATTGTAAAATTAGTTCATATGCGAAGCACAACGTATTACTACAACTGAGGTAGTAAAAAAGCAAACACTTAGAAAGCGATTCAAAACTAATGAAATCCAGCCCAGTGAATTGGAAGGAAATCGATCGGTAAATTCGCTTTACCTCAGCGCGTTCGGTTTTCTTCTGGATGTAGAGATCTCGCAAACGGTCCCACTCGTCGATAAGTAAGCTCAAGTCGGCTAGAAATATTTCTATATCCCATAAATAGTAACACATGCTGTCCCTTTTCTACAAGATAAAAAGAGCCCAGTAAGCTATGAGAATCAAAATCAATATTTAAAAAGCCAAACACACCATTGCCAATGTAATTCTTCAGCAATCTGGTCCCAAACTCGTAAGCGAAACTTGGCGTTCTCGGGTTTGTCTCGATAATACTCATTCAACGGATCGTATAAGCAAGGGTTTTCACGCACTGCGTTGATCAACCGAACCTTCAAATAAGATATTTGAGTAAATGTGCAGAAGAGGGTCAAGAACGTAAAATGAAATGTACAATTACCTGAAAATCCTCGTCCGTAACATCGCGTGATTGTGACTCAGAAGCCGTTGCGCTCAATGCCAATTCTTCGTCGATCGATGAGTCAATGGTAGGGAAAGCTTTTTCTCCTCGCTCAAAATCACCAGAGACAACCCTGGCTGAAATGTAACAAGTTCAACAGTTTGGTTCCTTCTTACAAAACTTGCAAAAGAGAAAAACGTCTGCGCAAAGGGTTGGCAGGTAAAGTCTATGTCCCACGAAAAAAAACAAGTAACTTCATAATGAAAGTTTTGTACCTGCTCTGCTGGGAACATTCTTCAATTCGGTCAACTGATATTCACCACTTCGAGGTGTTTGCGGCTGGCTAGAAGGTTGCGTGGTTGGAGGTTGCGACCTTCTAGCAGGAGCACTTGCAACTTCCATACTGAAATGATGGTTAGCTTTTCAACTAATTATATTCAGAAACTTAGAAGGACTTTGTAAGTGGAACAGATCAGAGTCGATCACTGATGGAAACAGTCGCTAGCGGTTTCTGAAGCTTGCGTCACGGGTTACAGATCGCTTCACGCATATTTCTAGCATCAAACTCACGGTTGCGAGGACGTTGGGAGGCATTGGGACGTCGCTGGTAGATCATGGCCCTCAGCCCGAGGGGATCTACCGTGGCTTCGAAGAGCGACCGTTCGCGCTGTTTCACGCTTACGTCGCGCAACCGCTCCAGAACCGCGTCGCAAGCTTCAGAAACCGCAACAACACGCTCGCGACACGACGACCGCGTCGCCGTACCGCCACGCTCAAATGACGCCGTCGACGCGTCGATAGCGCGAAGGGTCGGTCGATGACCGCAATCGCGGCAGGACCGCGCGACGCTTACGGCCGTCCCCCCTTTGTCAGACGGCTTCAAATTGGGACGTCACTCGCGATCGTCGACAGCACTTGCGCTCCGGAACGGGGACAGACATTCCTCGTGACGGGGAGCTCCGTGAAAACCTGCCCGGTTCTCTTCGCAGGGTTTTTCACACGGAACTTTTCGATGGAGTTTTTTCATATTTTAAAGTTTAGACATGAGCGTAGTTGTCCTGTCGCTATTCAACTATTGCTACCCCACTCTTCCGAAATCAGGCCAGTTTTGGCACAACACGAACACTTCAAAAACTCATTTTCAGAGGAATTTTTCCGCTGAAAATTTGACTATAGAGGTAATCCGGTGCTCTGATCACGAACTTCTTGGAGCTGGCGCCATTCGGGAGCAGACTGTCGCCACTACCTTTCTCATCAATCGATGAGAACTGTACACGGGGCTAAGTGGCATCCTGATCACAAATATGACACCCATTTTTTTCAGACCTCCCAGCCCGCGTCGCCAGGCGCCAATCTGGCGCCACATCCTCTTTCCCAAAATCGATAAAAACTTGCGTAATGGGGCTACTTGCATGCCCTCGTCACGGATATGGCATTCATTTTTCAACACCAACGCCATTTAGCGTTGCTACGGTTGAACCTGAGGAAGGGGTGATTAGCTATAGGTCAGGCTCAGCCTTAGCAGATGGTCGTGATGTCCTACATTGGGCCATCGCCAAAAACAAATAACCCTCGCATCTAAGTTTTCATCGATTCGGTGATCGAAGTGTTTTTGCGCCGGCGCCTGTGGGGCGGTTGCCATTCGGCTTCGGGCTAGGCAGATGTAATATTCGTGTTTAGGAGGTCGAACTACCCAGGAGACAAACTTTCAACCAAATGTGCCCTCGTAGAAAAAAGTCGATAAGGAACTGGCCTGATTTCGAATGGTTGGGGTAGGAATAGCTCAATAGTGCGCCAGTCTTTTACCAACTTATTCGACGATGGAGAATCGGCTGAAATTGGTTTCCAGAAGTAGTTCGACTTCTTGTACACAACACTCGCTTGGATTGAAACTGAAAATGCCTTGGTCTGCGCCCAGCCGCCGCCACGAAGCTGGAATTACCAAATTTGCGGAGAACTTGTTTGGAGGGGTAGTTCGACGTCCTGAACATGAATATCACACCCGTTTAGCCCGAAGCTGCCTGGCGCCGGCCCCAGAATACCCTGAATCACCAAAATGGATGAGAACCTATAAAGGGGATGGGGTTATTTGACATCCTGATTACGAATATGAATCGTTATTGACGCCGGCGCTAATGGAAGACACAGGACCATCTGCGCTCTAATAAGGCCGAGCCTGGCCTAAAGGAAATCACTCCTCCTAGGTTCAGCCTTAGCAGAGCGCTAAATGGCGCTGCTGTCAAAAAAGTCAATGCCACGGCTCTGATCAAGCATCAAACAACCCTATTTCGCAAGCTTTTA